ACATACATAATTTAATTGGAATAGAAATAAACATGTATGCCACGGGAGCTAATTTGCCCTGGCTTGATGAACAACCAATTCAGAAAAGAAGATCGTTGATATTTCAGCAGGATAATGCTCCAGCGCATAGATCAAGAAGCACCACCAATTGGCTATCAGACCATGGGTTCAAAGGGCAAAATTTAATGGTATGGCCTCCAAACAGCCCTGATTTAAATCCAATAGAAAATTTGTGGTCTATAGTCAAGAGGCTGATTAATGCTGAAAACAAGCAATTCACCAGCTTAGAAGTCCTGTGGAGAGCAATTGTAAGTGCTTGTCGATCAATCAAACCTTCTGAAATTGAAACATTGAAGTCAGCAGTGGACAGACGCCTCATAACGGTTTTGAAGAATGGAGAATGTCATGTTTGTTCGTAGCCGCATTAACAGACTTGTTTTGTTTTGTTTAACATGCTATACATATGTATTATGTAATGTAGGACTTAGAACACATGATGTATTTTCATATGCGCCACAATTCAATTAATAAAATTTAGTATAAAATGTGTTTTTCTTGTTTTATTTTCCATTTGCATAATGAAAGTGAACACTAAATTAGGGCTTAAGTTCATAAATCATTAAAAAGAAGCACGTTTTGTATATTTCGACAACTTAAATGATTGACAAAATAATAAAATAGTGTCAACAACACTTTAGCTCCTATTCTTCAGAATATATTGCTTAACTTGGATATTTTCAGGTAAAGATTAACTTTGCATAATCAAGCAGAACGCACTGTATATATATATATATATATATATATATATATATATATATATGTGTGTGTGTGTGTTAAATTTCAAATGCAGATCAAATATGGATCGGAATCCTACATGATGATAAAATAAAGAGGAAACGTATCAATATATAGAAAACATATCTATATCTATCTATCTATCTATCTATCTATCTATGTGTGTGTGTGTGTGTGTGTGTATAATAACGATATGCATTTTTGTATATCAAAAACAGTATTGGGGAAAAATGTAAGATAAAGTGGAAAATGTTTTCTTGTGACCAGTTTTGGCCTTCATCGGACTAAATTTGTTATCTTGGTGCGACTACGCATGCGCACGAATGAGGGATGCTGGGAATACTTTTTTTTCTTCATAAATCTAGCCGATTTTGATTCTTTTTCTTTTCATCGCATTTCTTTTCATATATAGGATTAATACAAATTAAATTTGTCACAGCTGATTGATATTTTATTCAGCACACCTTCTCCATAGTTTTGGCAGACGAACCTTTTTCTAATTGTTCAGTCTATAAGTCGGGTGGTTTCAGCAATTGACTCCCGTTTTTCTTGATGTAACACACACACACACACACACACACACACACACACACATATATATATATATATATATATATATATATATAATTTATGTAATATATATGTATGTATGTATGTGTGCGTGTGTGTGCATCTATCATTAATATGAACGTTATGTTTAGTGGATACACATGTTTTACTGGATATTTCATATCTATCTTTAATTTTATTTAAACAGTAAAATCTATGATTACTTTCATTATTAATTGCATTATTTACATTATTCAGACTGTCATCCTCATCTTCATTGCCATATTCGCAACGTTTCGACCTACTTCGGGTGAGTGGAATTTTGAACCGAACACGTTATTTCGTCCACCGGGGTAGATTGTTCTAGTTCCACGTGTCATGCCTCTTCCGGATATCTCAGTCATTTCCCTTTGACTCAACTCTCTGTGGCCTGGTATTGAACTCACAACTCTTTGGGTCTAGTCACTGGATCTAACGTTTTTATCTACTGTGCCATGTGTTTCCTTGAGGACATCTGGGTATGAATTTTTGGGAATTATAAACCTAATGTCTCAGCAACCATTATTGCTAATATTGCAATTTTTTCTCTGTTATTATCGTTGCATTTTTTTACCAGTGCTTATATTGCAATTTTTGTTGTTATTAATTGCTTTTCTCTAGCACTTCTTATTACTGGTTCCCATATTGTATTCATTTTTATGCTTAGTCGGCTCAGGAGAGTTTTGTGTTCTAGCATATGTGCTGATTCCTTAAATTTTCGTATTGAAAGATGCTCTCTGTCTATTATTTCAACCTCATCCCACGGGGTGTGGCGGTGATATCTCTTTTCCATCCATATGTGGTCAGCTACGCCTGGCTTTTCTATTTCCCCTCGCGTTAATGCTTTACGATGTTCTTGTAGTGGAGGCAATGGAGAGCGGCTTGGATTGAGGAATCGGAGAGACGAGTTCGAATTCCAGTCGGATCCATTACATTCACTTACGTGCTAATACCCTTGGGAAAGGTGTGAATCCTCTTCTTCTCACCCCACCCATTTATGGCTAAATAGCAGAAAAGACTGGGTTCTATAGCCTTGGATGACAACTGGCCTACCGTGGAAAGAAATGGCAACTTACAGCGGAAAAAGATCTGCCTCGTCAGTCATGTATCTTATTAAAAAATAAAATTCGGTCGAGCACTTTAGATGGAAAGCGTGAATTTTTAAACAGTGACTGCTATTGTTTCTATGAATCAAGCACCCTGGCATGTTTAATAAATACGTAAAAATTCACCTTCCTCTTGATCCTGGATTGAGGAAATCGGATGTCTATTCACAATTATGAGCTGTGATACAGCGAAACAGTCTCTTAGTGGATGACAATATATATATATATTTTATTAAAGACATTTTTATGTTTAACGTTCTTTTTTATAGATACAAGTATTTAAGTAAATGCTCTGTTTATAATAAACAGTATTAAATAACATTTACCGGCCTGAATGTCCGAGAAAATTTCATAGAAAATATTCGTCCTTTGACAGAATTCGAACCTGCATCCTATACGGAACCGTCATTTACGCTGACGTGCCTAACCTCTCGGCCACAAAGGATCGTTCGGTTGGCAAGGTCAAATTTGCTGCTTATAAACTTCAATCTTCCATGAATCTCGTACATTCATAACTGCTCATGGCGTATCAAATGTAAAGAAAAGATATATATTCATATATTAAGAAATGGACAAAGTCCGACAATTTATTTATTAAAGACATTTTTATGGTTTAACGTTCTTTTTATAGATACAAGTATTTAAGTAAATGCTCTGTTTATAATAAACAATATATGGCCAAGATTTCTTTTCTAATGAATATATGCATATAGCTAAACAATATATTTAAAATCACAGGAATGGTGATATTTTTTTTATATTTTAAAAACAGCGTAGCACGAATAGACAAGCCGTTTATGTTCTTTCAATCAAGTACAATAACCTTAAGATATTTGAGAGTTTAAAAATAATCTGTGTCTATTTACTTTTAGCCAGTTTTTCATTTTTAAGTAAAATATTTCGATAACCCGGTTTTATTAGCCGGATATTCTCTTCTTTTTCTTTTTACCAGATGTTTCCCGTCATCCGTGGCCGGAAACCAATGCGATTAAGACTGAAAGCCTTGTCCCTGAAGATCCGTCTCCCGGGGCAGTACCTCTTCACTTCATTAAAAGATGTATCGCCTGCGGCAGTCCCTGATGCGTGTGATAAAACGAAAGCGTTTGTTTGTATCCAACGTTAAAAGAAAAAAAAAAGAACATATCCTGAAATGTCATGGAACTAGTAAAGACCATTTTTATAAATGTCAGGAGAAATAAAGGCATGGATATGATATGATAAACTGACACAAAAACGGAACTCTGTATGTGCGCGCGAATAAGTTTGAAAAAAAAAATAAGATAAAAAAAAGCATCGAGAATGATTTGTATGTAAATAGATACATCGGAAGAGTTAACCAAATTTCTGCAAAAATATTAGAAAAACTGTAACTAAAGGTCGTTGAACTGAATTATAGCGCGAAAAACAGGTGGCCTCAGAAGGTATTTCTGAAATACATTTGTGATTGAGGAAGCATAAGTAATAGGTATTATAGCCAATCGCCCTAGTAGAGGGATATATTCGGAAACGTGTAGCTTGCTATTCTCTCGATCTGTCTGTGTGTCTATTTCAGTCTGTTCCTATCTGTCTATAAATGTATCTCGGTCTGCTCATATCTATCTATCTATCTATCTATCTATGTAGTAGGCATTTATAATATACATTTGTGAAAGAGAAGGCATGACCAATAGGAGTTATATCTATCTAATCCCTCGAGTAGATGGATATACTCCGAAACGTGTATCTTACTGTTATAAGTCTCTCTTTCTATCTCAGTCTGTTTTTATCTATCTATCTATCTATCTATCTATCTATCTATCTATCTATCTATCTATCTATCTATCCCAGTCTGTTCATTATCTATCTATCTATCTATCTATCTATCTATCTATCTATCTATCTATCTATCTATCTATCTATCTATCTCAGTCTGTTCATTATCTATCTATCTATCTATCTATCTATCTATCTATCTATCTATCTATCCCAGTCTGTTCATTATCTATCTATCTATCTATCTATCTATCTATCTATCTATCCTATCTATCTATCTATCTATCCCAGTCTGGTCATTATCTATCTATCTATCTATCTATCTGTTCATTATCTATCTATCTATCTATCTATCTATCTCAGTCTGTTCATTATCTATCTATCTATCTATCTATCTATCTATCTATCTATCTATCTATCTCTGTTCATTATCTATCTATCTATCTATCTATCTCATCTATTCATTATCTATCTATCTATCTATTTATCTATCTATCTCAGTCTGTTAATTATCTATCTATCTATCTCATCTATCATTATCTATCTATCTATCTATCTATCTATCTATCTATCTATCTCAGTCTGTTCATATCTATCTATCTATCTATCTATCTATCTATCTATCTATCTATCTATCTATCTATCAATTCAAATAAGATGAAATCAAATACATGACGATGTTGACTTCAGTTGAATTAACGGAAATATAAATAGCTTGCTTCAGCTTTGTGAAGCGGAAATTCCAAAAGACAGATTCTGATGAAATCATTTAGCCGCGTCCTGTCTTTTATTGCCAGGAAGCATCACCAAAAGTTTGAAGGGATCGCTCTCTTTTATTCTGTCTTTTGAAAAGAATTCCCAAAGATTTTTCTAAGCGTAAAACGAATTAATGTTCGTGTATATAGAAAGTTAAATACGCATGTGTTTTAAGTGCAGGCGAATAAATTCATCATACATGTGTGTGAGTGTATTTGTGTATATATGTGTAAGTGTGTGTGGAGCAGGGAGGTGAGGAATTGCCTTGTGTATTGTCACGTGTATAAACTTAGATTTAAGAAACAAAGAATTGAACAATAAAATGCATATAAGTTTTCATATTCAGGGAATAGACACATACACATACACACGGAAAACAGACAAACACACAGAGGCATGAAACACACACACATATGTTTACATAAAATGCACACATAAAAGCATACACATGCACACATAAAAGCATACACATGCACAAATAAACACACACATGCACATATAAAAGACACAGACACATACACACATAAAGTAAACACGCATGCACGAATGAAACACACGCGTGCGCATATAAAGAAACACACACATGTATCGCGCACACACACATACACATATATATATAGGCGTAGATACGTCAATAAGTTTGTAGCCTATAGATAAAAAAAAGCATTTTTTTCACAGCAATGTGTATTTTCAACACAGGAGTTTTTCTTGTCAATCCACTTAATTCATTGCTTAATATTAATCCCATAGCTCAAAGATAGAGCTCATATCTATCTATCTATCTATCTATCTATCTATCTATCTATCTATCTATCTATCTATCTAAGGTTATTCATATCTATCTATAAATCTATCACATTCTGTCAGTTTATATCTATCTATCTATCTATCTATCTATCTATCTATCTATCTATGTATCATTTCATTCCAAGCAAGGTAATCTCAACATTAAGACGCGATTAAGTTACTGAGAATATGAGGAAGTTATTATATATATATATATATATATATATATATATATATATATATATATATATATATATATATATATATATATATATATATATATATATATATATATATATATATATATATATATATAGTGGTTAGAATATTATGACCATGAGACCCGGGTTCGAATCTTGCCATGGTCGATTTGTCAGGAAGGTGACTTCCTGAAGTTATCGGACTTGAGGGATCGATCTCAGTGTGCGGTCCCTTTGGAAAGTGCCTGGAAACTATATCACGGGTCGACCCAATCCTTGTGAGTGAAATTGAGTAGACGGAACCCTTGAGGGCCGTCAATAGCTGTGCTAGCACGAAGTCACAAGTCATCTTGGCCGAGGGCTTGAGTGTGCTGGCCTTGTTCAAATTGTTGATCATGCCATATCTGGCGATTTTTCCCAGAAACTGTAACTAAGGTCTGCTCAGCATAGTTGAAGTATAAACCACAAGTGAGCTCTGTGGGTGTTGAATAAACACAAATGCACCTGAGCCAGCGTCTCCTGTAGGGATTGGGTAGCCACTGCAGTAAACAGGTATCCTCGAATAAGAGTGACCAGCTGTATATATATATATATATATATATATATATATATATATATATATATATATATGCCGAGTGTAACAGCAAAATTGTCCAAATCGTGTAACAGCAAAATTTTCCCATTGTTAGATTAAGCTCTGAACTGTTGTATCTTAGAAATGATAAAAGATATCTTACTGGAATTCTCCGAGGTTTCTATAACACGATTGATCTGTTCTTTGAGCAATAAGAATGTTTAATTAATCTTTAAACTTAACCGAAGTATGATTATGAATCAATCATAAGCGAAAATGACATGTTCATTAATTAATTATAGTTAAGTATCGGAAGCTCATGAAGTATTGAAATAGAGTTCAATATATATATATATATATATATATATATATATATATATATATAATCCAGGATCATTTTCCAACTTATTCAAGACGATCTTCGCCCTTTCTAACCTTCTAACTCTCTGTCCACATGTTTCACGTAGGATTTTATTTTCAAGTCGCCGTTTTTCACTGCTCTTTGGACTTCCATAGCTGAAACACCTCATTCATGTGCCAAACATCTTATAAATTGAGTTGGATTTTTTTTTTCTCATGGATCTCTTTAGCACTAAGTTGAAATGATGATCCTTCTTCCTGTTGTGACCTTCCGATCCAGTTTTCCTCTCTACTGTTGCCTCTTTTTTAAACTTATTCACCGTTCTCTTGATAGTTCATGAATGAATTTTGAAGATGTAAGCCAGAGTATGAATGCTGGTACCATTATTGAAGGCCTGAATGATATTTTCTGGTCTGACACAAAACAATTTTAACCTGCTCTCTTTTTAACTGAATAACTCAAAGCTTTTTTCAGTGGTTCTTACGATAAATGATGTCAAGTTAGCTAAACATCTTATCTAAAAACCTTGGAAAAAGACACTAAATTAGTTTAGTGTTTTTTTTTTAGATATTAAACATCTTGTATGATGGATAATTATGTGTTACACCATATATATATATATATATATATATATATATATGTGTGTGTGTGTGTGTGTATGTGTACACCATATACATACATGAATTATATATATATATATATATATATATATATATATATATATATCATTCGCAGACAGTACTGTTTCGCTGTATCACAGCTCCTCAGTGCGACTAGACATCCGAAAGTCAGGAGCGAAACCCGACCGATTTGGTGTCAGTCAGAGTTTCTACCACTAAACCATCATTATTCGGCAGAGAGAAACAGCTAATTCTAGCGTATTATTTTTACGAATGTAAACAAACGCAAATCAGTCAGAGGGCTCTAATTCTTTTTCCTGAAGAGCTTTGCATTAGCGCAGGTGGCTGTTGTTTATAGAATCAGCTTGTCTCTCAACAGTGCACAATTGAAATATATTTTCAAGAGCATATATATATATATATATATATATATATATATACTAAGATCTGAGAATGCAGATTGTTAATATATATCAAAAAATGAACCAGGACCGATGAGGGAGTTTTTGACTGATCTCGTTAGCCTCACAAGACTGTCCATTGATAACGACATTCGTGGAAATATCCGAGATTAATTTTATACTGCATCACTATTATGAATAGAACGCACCTCCCAAATCGATAACTAATCAATATTTTTCGATTCTGACAAGGTCCGTCGCCTAAGGAAAGTTAAGAATGCTAAAATTAAAAAAAATAGATATTTACCTTATTTTTTACGAGTGGACCAGTCTTCTTAACTAGTGCCTAATATACTTGTTTTCTGGTAGATGTTGCAGCCCCAGGCGAGAAGAACACATATTTGAAAATGTTTGAGAAACCCGAGATAGAAATCAGTAGAATGTGACATTTCGAGACAACAACATTATCTCTTGTTATTGGAGCTTTGGGAATGATATCAAAAGTAGCAGAGAAATATGTGGATCAAATTCCAAGTAACCCTAAAATATGGGAATTGCAAAAAAAAAAAAAAAAAAAAAACAAAAAACTCATCTGTATTTCTCATATTTTGCGTAGATTTATCTTCACCCAGTGACAACAATTGCATTTTTCTCCTTGATTGCATGGTACCTCATCTGCGTCCTCTGATACAAAACCTTGTCGCTTGAAGTTCTGGGGGCAACACTTGCTACACAAATAATAATAATAACTAACCAAATCCCCGTCTTACGAACATTTCTCTTAATAATAATATAAAAATAATTAAGCAGTTATTTTATTTGTGGTAACAAGATTTTTGGTGATTGCCTTATTCGGTTTCCGTCGTTCGATTCTGTGAGTCTAAAAATGTAGCTCTTATCGCGGTCGCCATCGCTTTTCTGGCTTTTGGCTGGGATCAAAGTATAGTATCTGCCTTTCAGCGTAGAATCTACATTTCAGATCTCAGTCGTGTCTCTGTCTTCGGGCAGAGCTCAACTGAAAATATTATTGAGAGGTGCCCGGTCTCGAGGAAGAGCTGCCCGCAGCAGTGCCTCCCTCATTGCAATAAAGAGGTGGGATCGGGTAATGATACCGATGCCAGCACAACCGACGATTGCGAGGAATGGGCTATGTTTGAACCTGGACCGGGTGCACGCGATCATGCTCCTTACATTAAATCGACTTTGTGTCACATCCTGCTAGCGTGGAGGCGGCAAGAAAATACAATCACTCATCGGCCTTTTGGCTAAGATCAAAGTGTAGTACCTGTTCTTATCAAATTCATCTGATTCTCCCTCTCTCTGCTTTCTTTCATTTTCTCGCTGAAAACAAGTAGTGTCTTTTCGTCTCTTTCCACGCCAAATCGGAATAGCTCATTATTTTTTATCTATTGACAGGACGTAACGGTCGTACGAACAAACGAATGAAGGGAAACATACAATGATAATACAAAAAATAATAATAATTATAGCAATTTGAAAGCTGAGACAGAAAGCCAAATTATTGCAGCTCAGAACCAAAGCCTCGCAACCAGATCCTATCATTGTCATATAATCAAAGAGGGAACTAACCTGAAATGGAGGATCTGAAAAAAACACGATGAAACTGTCGGCCATATTATCTCAGGATGTCCGGAACTATCAAAAAATGAATATACCCACAGACATAGCAAGGTAGCGGCATATTTGCACTCGAACATATGCAAGGAGCACAAAACCATTGATAGATGGTATGAGCACCAACCAGACACAGTTACCCAAAAATAACGATGTAACTATCCTCTGGGATGTGACATTTCAAACTGACAGGAAATTAAAAAACAACAGCGCTGATATTTGTTACAGATTTTTGGATACATGTATGTACTAGTGAGCCAACCAAAATGAGCTGACTCATTTTATAGTCCACCAAGAGAAGGGTTAACCAATCAGAAAGCTGAAAATATTCAATCCGACGTGTATAAAGGCAGACATTTTGTTTTTTCTCCCAAAATATCGCCATTGCCAAGCTGATATCGAAGACTTAAAGAATTACTTAACAGCTGCTACTTTCTCTGAATCTTCACTGCCAACCTCTGATATTGAACTGGATTCTATATTCAAAGACTACAGCAAACATGGTCAACAATATTATCATAAAAGACAAGAAATTCAGGAAGTGTATGTTTATTGACATACTAATACCATCTGAGAGAAACATCCCCATGAAAATTATCGAGAAATTGTCCAAATACAAGGACCTGGAGATCGAGATTAACAGGATGTGGTAAATGAAGACTGAGACGGTACCAATAGTAATCGGAGCACTGCGCCTCGTGAGAAGAAGGAATGAACAATTTTACTAACAATGTCCCAGGTAACATCAACATACAAGTTGCTCAGTCGATCGCCCTACATCCCATATAATAAGAAAAGTGCTATTAATTAAATGACAATTCTCCTCTAGGGTCTAAGGACCTTAGTTTAGATCAGGCTCTACACGATACAAAGCAGGAAACATAACATACACAAATAATAATAATAATAATAATAATAATAATAATAATCTATGAAAATAAAGTGCCAGACATTTCTCAATTTGCGTGTGAGATATATTATTTTTTAATTTTACTTTTAAATGTTTGTAAACTTATCACATAATATTAAAAAGGATCGTCCGTTATTTAAAAAAATGCCTGCTGACAACTATGGTATTAGATTTAATCAAAAGATAAATTCTGATATTTTATTTTATTCTTAAATGATTTTTTTTATCGTACAGTTGTGTCATTTATTATCAGAACTAGTGGACAGTTTTAGAAGCCAAGATTGATAAGGTCGATTATCAAGACACGCAGGTGTTCGACATTGGAAGGGTTAGTGCAAGGCAATCTTTCTAAGACCCCTTTTTTAACACTATTTGGCACAGTTCCTCGCTAAATCAATTTAGTATATACAATTAAATATTCTCGGAATTTGACCATGAAACATTTCTACCTTGTTTGCTGTTTTTACACTGAGACAGAAACGATACTATTTAGAAAGGGTTGCAGCAAAACTTCTAAAATTTGCGTCTTCTGTCCAAATTGCACCTGTCTGAATAAATTTAGGTAGCGAAAAGTTTGTGAGTCCATTTTGTGGATCAGGTAGGGAATCACTGGTTCAGCAGAACCGAACAATAAATGGATATGTGATGCCAGTTTCCAGGGACAAATAACAAAATAATCAACAGATATCGTCATGTCAGCCAAACGATGAACACCTGATGATGGTCAAAGTGGACATAACCGAAACGTTGTGCCTATCATGACACCTATAATAATCAGGATGAGAACAATAGTTTGAAATAATTAAAGTATATGGGCAATTACTTATCTCAAAAATGAAATGCAAAATTGTAGAACTCTTCAGTTTCAAACTTTACAAACAATTCTCAACCTTTTTATTAAACGATTAAAAGTGTCAAAATTGTTTGCAAAGTTTGGTGCTTCTCCAGAAGCTGAACACAATCTTGCGTTTGAGTCGCATTTTTTTACCCATTCTTATTGTCACTTAACGATAAAATGGGTTTGCCGAGAAGGATTTGTTTGTTTAGTGACGTGTCAACTCCTTATGCCGAAATTTCTTTTTCTTGGGAGATATTTGCAATTTCATATACAAAAATGTATTGTTGGTAAGTTTGTTTTCAAAAATGTATTGCTGGTATATATATATATATATTTTTGACTATGAAAATGTATTATTATACTTTCGTAGTGTTTAGTGGTTATATATTTGCCTAAAGCCGAGACCTTAACAGGCGCTACCACCCCGGGTTGGAGTGGACCCTGAAGCAACAGCAATTACGTGTTAGTTCCACGACCCTCAAAACCTCCCAATCAGAGGCCTTGCTGCCAGATGTAGTTCATTGTCATACCCAGGACGGATAACGACAAAACCAAAATGAATACACACACGCGCGCACGCACGCACATACACACACATATTTATATTTATATCTATATATGTTAATTAGTACATATGCGTGTACCTACGTTTTTGTGTGCGACTAAAGTTTCGATGGATTACCAACTCATCGGGCACAAGATCTATATTGTTAAAAGTAAACAAATGGCTTATGGGAGTATCACTGCTACGTAGCGTAAATATAAAAATGCACATAAGTGTCTTAAATGCGAGGCTGGTGAGTTACATTTTTTTTTTAAATTAGAAAAATGTGAGAAGACTAGAAAAAAAGTATAAGAAAAAACAATGATTACAAAAATTTTAAATTAAAGACGCTGCTTTCGCGTAATCAATATAACGTTAAGGATTAAAGGGAGATAAAAAATGAAAGCAAATGAAAAATAAGGACGATAAGGAAAGAAAAATAGAAAAATGTGTAGAAATGAGGAAGGAAAGTAATTATAATATATAGGAATATGAAAAAATATGTGGGGAAATAAGAAAATATTAGAAATGTGTGAAAAGAAAAGAAAAAACTATATATATATATATATATATATATATATATAGGAAAATAATACGAAGGTGGGCTGAAACGTTCATAGGCTGACTATGAAGAAATAGTACTAGAGGTGTGAAATGTTGCATGCATTTATTTCAAATCTTCTTATTACGGCATGCAAGACTTCACGTCTCTAGTATCATTTCTTCATAGTCAACCTATGAACTTTTCAGCCCATCTTAGTATATTATTTTTACAGACTGCGGCAGTAATACCTCCCACATAATGATAAGACATTAGCTAAGCGAAAACACCATTGACACTGTGGTCTTATTATTATTTAGGCGTGTGTGTGTGTCCGGATGGGGGGGTCAGCCGAATCCTTAAATCAAGAACAATTTTAAGGGAAAGAATTATGACAAAGTAGAATTTTTTTTTCTGTAGCGCGTTTCGTCCTTTGAAGTCCGATTTCCACTTTCTCATAATTATTTCCTTCTCTTAATAGTAATATATATATATATATATATATATATATATATATATATATATATATATATATATATATATATTTACAACAAAAAAAAAAAATTACCTCAACATAGAGGATAGTCTATTTCAAGCCGTTCTGTACGCGGCCATTATCAGCCCCCCTCTATGTTGAAGTAATTTTTATTTTTGGGGTGTAAACTATACATATGCTCTGTTATAATAAATACATTGAGTTCTCTGTGGATCAGTTTTAATAACTAATATAACTAGGATCCACCCGGATTATATATCAACGGATCGATTACCTGTACTATATATATATATATATATATATATATATATATATATATATATATATATAGTCATCCACAGTCAAACTGTTTCGCTGTATCACAGCTCATCAGTGTGGCTAGACGTCCGGTTACTTTCAGCTAGGGTCGAAACCCGGCTGAATTGGCGTCAGTTGGAGAATCTAACCTTAAGCCGTTGGCTCACGGGCAGGGATGAAGGTGAATTAAAGCGTATTTATTTTTAGATAAACACGCCGGAAGAAGAATTATTAAAAGAGTAAATTATCTTTTTTACATTTGTTCAGTGTTCCATTAAAGTTTCGTGCCATCATCATTTGATTTTATTATGAGCTGAATTTATTTTCACATCATATTTTTTATTCAATTAAAAATACGTACGTAGATTGTATTAAAATATTTCTGTTATGTAAAATTGATATTTTTAGATAAAATTTAGAATATTTCATTAAATTACGTTATTACATGTTAGTTGATAATAGAATATCAATTCTCTGTTTAGGATTTCTTATGAATTTTAACATTAGATTAATGATAAAACAGGTTGGAAAAAGCTAAGTGAGATGATTAAATTATTAATATTACATATATATAATTATTTACAATCATTATCACAGTCTCTTAATATACTGAATCTATTCATTATCTATCTATCTATCTATCTAATTCTGTTCATTATTATCTATCTATCTATCTATCTATCTATCTATCTATCTATCTATCTATCTATCTTATTCTGTTCATTATCTATCTATCTATATCTATCTATCTATCTATCTATCTATCTATCTTATTATGTTCATTATCTATCTATCTATCTATCTATCTATCTATCTATCTATCTATCTATCTTATTCTGTTCATTATCTATCTATCTATCTATCTATCTATCTATCTATCTATCTATCTATCTTATTATGTTCATTATCTATCTATCTATCTATCTATCTATCTATCTATCTATCTATCTATCTTATTATGTTTCATTATCAATCTATCTATCTATCTATCTATCTATCTATCTATCTATCTATCTATCACAGTCTCTTAATATTCTCAATCTATTTATCTATCTATCTATCACAGTCTCTTAATATTCTATATCTATCTATCTATCTATCTATCTATCTATCTATCTATCTATCACAGTCTCTTAATATTCTCAATCTATCTATCTATCTATCTATCTATCTATCTATCTATCTATCTATCTATCTATCACAGTCTCTTAATATTCTCAATCTATCTATCTATCTATCTATCTATCTATCTATCTATCTATCTATCTATCTATCACAGTCTCTTAATATTCTATATCTATCTATCTATCTATCTATCTATCTATCTATCTATCTATCTATGTCGGCGAATTAACTGTTTTAAGAGCATGTCAGATCTAAGATTTACGCCCACTCCGCCAGCAACTGTGTCTTATTTTTCAAACCTCTTATTTATCACTGGAATTGTAGATCACTTACCCGGCAACTTCCCCTCTTCTAAGTTTGTACTCACTCATTTAACTTTATGGTTCACTTCCTTTATTTCGTACATTTATATCTACTCTTGTCAATGCTTCTCCACTACTTCCGGTCACGCTCAACGTAATGACAATATGGAAAAGAAAGAAAAGGAAAAACCTGGATGGGTTGAAAGGGTAAAAAATAACATTAATCAGCGAAGACAAGAATCAATAAAAATTATTTAAAACCAAATAGAAATCTTTTTATTTTTATTTTGACATTTCTCTTTTATGTTGGTTGATCCTGGGTACAGCTATTGTCAGACATTGGAGAAAATATCATGGGTTCGAATCTTAGCGAAGTCTTTACATTTATATTATTTTAAACAAATTGTAAGAATTACTCGATAATAAAGAGTTTGATTATCTATTATGAGCAGAAGAAATATCGGAAAGAATAATGCATACAAATATTTGCGAAGAACGAGTGGTTGAATTAAAAGGTACTCTGACTCATGACTACCATACATGAGGAAGAAACTGTAAAAATTCCGTTGTAAATTCCGCGCGTGTGTGTGTGTGTGGAAAACTTCAGATATACATAAAATACATCTATAAAAAGACAATATAAATAAAAAGAAAAGGAAAACTTTTTTACCACCGCGTTTCTACATGGGTCAAGAGAGTGTATGAAGGAAGACCCGATATCTGGTAACAGGACTCTGCATCATGCCGTACATGCAGGAGAAAACAGTTATGGCTGCCATACAATTTCTGCGACCACATCACCTCTTACAGATGGCTGCCTAACTCCCCAGACTGTAATCCCATTGATTATTATGTGTAGGCGCAGTTGAAAAAACTTCTTGTAAGATTAAAGATGAACTGAATGCAAGGGTTAAGGCCAAATTCACCAACTTAAACGAGGTTACCGTCCAGAAGAGTTGCTGGAGATTCCGAAGTCGTCTGGAGGCCGTGGTTGAAGCCAATGGCGATTTTATTAAATAAATTTATTCTTCAGTATTTCAAGATATATTTGTATAATTTTAGTAAATATATCTGTTCAAAAATGAGATATCAGGGTTATTTTATTTTTTCGTAATTTTAGATGGCAATTTATCTATCGTATTCTGTCTAAATAGATCTAAATATAAACACACACACACACACACACACACACACACACACATATATATATGTATGTATGTATTCACGTATTTGTTTGTAAAGTCAAGTGTTCTCGAAAATTAGATGCCGCAGAAACAAGATGGATTCGACCAATTTGTAAAAATCGACTTGATGTCGTATGGACGACTAATAGGTAAATAAGTAGTGTAGCTGTTGTAGTGTAGGTGTGACAGTCATGGGAAAGATATTTTGGAATCACAAACCAGAAGCACTCTGTATCTGAACTGGCCATCGTCCCAGTGTCTTTCTAGGAGAATAGTAGTAAGGCAATATTAGAAATATCTGAATTCAAGATGGACATCAGTAGCAAATTGAGTCCGTCCAGAGGTTTTGGATTGTTAGTGTTTAACGAAGATGGTAGCAATTCAATGAAAGTGAACACTAGATAAACTCAAAGTTGGTGTCTCTCAATCAATCAATCAATCAATCAACACTGTTCAGCGTACATTACATTCTATTGTGTTTCGCAGTCCTTAACATAACATGGAGGCCATTATTGACATTACCGCATCGGTTAATGCTTTTCACCTGTGCCAGAATCATCACCACTGGACCGTAGAAAACTGGTACGGTGTCACTTAGCTAAACATATTATATATTTCTGTTTTCTATTATATTTCTATTTTTTCAAATTCTATTATAAAATATACAAAGATTTGGTCTCAGTTTAAAATGGCGTCAAACTTTTTCTATATACCGGGTGTAACAGCAAAATTGTCCATATGTTAGTTTAAGCTCTGAAGCGTTTTATCTTAGAAATGATTAAAGATATCTTACTGGAATTCTCCGAGGCCTTTATAACACTATTGGACTCTACTTTGAGCAATAAGAATGTATAATTACTCTCCAAGATTAACAGAAGAGTCGTAATGAAATCGATCATAAAAACGAAAATGGTATGTTAATCATTAAATTATCATAGCGAAGGATCCAGGTTCATTTTCTAGCTTATTCAAGATGATCTTCACCTTCTTTAACCTTCTAACTATCTATCCTAATGTAACAAGCTGCCTCGCAGGTTTCATGTATGAATTCATTTTCAAGTCTTTTTTCACTACTCTTTGGACTGTCGTAGCTGAAACTCCTCTCACGTTCCAAATGTCTTATTGATTAAGGTGGATCGTTTTTAATTGATCACTTTGGCTCTAAGTTGAAATGATGATCACTTTTCCTGCTGTGACCTCCTGATCTAGTTTTCCTTCTTTTGTAAAGTTATTCACAGTTCTCTTAATGGTTCTTGAATGGACTTTGAAGATGGAAGCCAGAGTATGAATGTTGGCACCATTACTGAAGGCCTGAATGATCTTTTTCCTCTCACCATTGCTCAGTTGGGAAGGTAGTGAAATTGACACAGAATGATTTTAACCTGTTCTTTTTCTAGCTGAATAACTCAAAGGGGTTTTCAGTGATTCTTACGATAAATGGTGTCGAGATGGCTAAACGTCTTATTGGAAAATCTGAAAAAAAGAAACTTAATTAGTTTAGTGTTTGATTTTTTTTTTTGATATTAAACATTTTCTGGGATGGACAGTTATTCTGTTAAACACGCTAGTGTGACCATTTTTAACTTTCGTATTTTCTGTATTTCAGATGAAAACTTGAAAATAATTTTTCGAGTATATTACAGTAAAATTCCCCCTTTTATAGTTTAGATATTTACCTTATTTACAATGAAGACAATTTGTAGATTAAATTTTGTAGGAAGATGGTTATCATTAAATTAACAAGGTCTGTACGTTTATAAAAGTGTATTAATTGCTGTCATAAGCTATGCCTAATTTTCCTGCGATAACAAACTTCACATAAGTTGAATTTTTCTTGTCGCCTGTCTAACAAAAATCAAACTGTTAATATTTTTTAATGAAAGTTTAACCCTTTGCGCCTTTGAATTTTGTCAGGTTTTTAAAAAAATCACCCAAACTCTTTCATCTTTGATAAAATAATGTTTAACACTAGTATGGCCGACGTGTCGTTTTCGACACCTTCAAATTTTCAACAAATTCCTATGGAATAACTAGTTTTGGTTCGATGCTGAGGCTTATGGACAATTATTGAATTTTAGCAAAGATGCTTAACAGACTTAATTCTTTAAAAAAAATATTCAGTGGAATAGCTGATATTTGAGGTTTTATCTTGAATGGCCGAGGTGTCGTTTTTCGCTATCTATAGGGTAAATGCATTGAAAAATTTCTCACAAGCAATAATACTTGTGTTTATGTCCCCTATCTATCTATTTATCTATCTATCTATACACACACACATATAATTTATATACATATATATATATATATATAATCACTTTCTTTCAGTATGAGGTATACTAATATTTGTGAATTTCTTTTTAGACTTGTTAGTCCTGACTTGAATATTGAATATATTAAAGATGGCTGCTTCACGGCGTAATGTAAATAAAGATGTCAAAAGAGCTGGTCATCTTAGTGTTAAAATCTAAAGAATGTTTAGATTAACTTTTCTAGAAAGTAGGCTATGAATAAGTCGTCAAGGTCTGTATGTTTATAAAAGTTTATTAAATTATATCATTAATTATGCATAGTTTTCCCGCAATAACAGACTTCAAATAAGTAAAAGCTTCCTGTCAATAAAAGAAAGATATTTCCAACAGTCTCAAGGGACGGAATCAAGAAAAAAACAGAAAGAATTTAGATCACACGTTGCTTAATGTTTTCTTGATTTCAGATATAAGCTTCGAGTTTCTCTAACATATTTCAGTGAAAGTTTCCCTTTTCAAAAGTATCTTATTATAATTGTGCTTGCTTCTTCCCTTTGTTAGTTAAATGATGGACTATTCCGTGTTTTGATCGCGAGGAAAGAGTGGAGAAAGACAATACTTGGTTTCAGTGAGAAAATGAAAGCAAGAAAGAATGGAAGATAGGAGAGAGAGAATCAGATTAAACTGGTAAGAACAGAAACTACACTTTAATCTTAGAACAGAATCTTAGAACTACCCTTTGGTGCAGAGAAGTGATGCATATTTTTCAATACGCCCACGTCGCTACCAAATGCAACACAAGGTCGAAGTTTAGAGTGGGTTTACCGGCAATACCGTAAATGCCTAAGTTCCCTCGTCACTTCTCCTTCTGGGAACGTCTCAGGCGTCGAGCAATAAACCTAGATCCCTCCTGAAGGGAAGGTATTACCTGGCGGAGGCTCCCTGGGCTTTGGTCTTAAAGCTTTTGACCCTCTTCGACCGCCGAGAGAGCCGAGGTGCGATGGCGACCGCAATAAGACTCCATTTTTCAGATGAACAGAATCAAAAGATGGAAACCGAGACGAGTAAGCAATCGTCAAAAATACAATTACTATAAATTAAATACAATAACATCGTCTTTTGTATTATCTTAAAATTATTATTGAGTCAAATGTTCACAAGACGGGGATTTGGCTAGAAAGAAAGAAAGCAAGAAGGGAAGATAGAGGTATTTAATATCTCTTGCCAATACCTCATAAATAATGGACTATTCCATTTTGATCGCATCGAAAGAGGTGAAAAGACGCCACTTGGTTTCAATGAGAAAATGAAAGAAAGAAATAAAGAAGCGAACATAGTGGCGTTTAATGACTTTTTCGGTGAAATGGAAAAAGGTGTGAATTTCAAATCTTTTCATTTCTACCCCACTTCTTAAAATAACGACTAGCATTCATATTTCATGATTGCTTTAAAGTTGCTAAATGCAAATTGCTCTAGGGCAATTTCTTCGGATATTTTATTGTCGTAGAACTCGCCATCAGCTTATTCAATTATTAATTTAAGAGTTAAAAATTAAGATTCATCAGAAAATTGAAAATAGGAAAGCCATGAAATTTTCACGGGTCTACCTAGTAATTTATAATTAAAGTTCAGATATTTTTTAAGCGTTTCATTCCAAGCAAAGTGGGAAGCCACTAGCATGCAAGGGGTTACAGAGAGTTGGAGCTAGAGCAAATATGAGTGATAGAGGAAAGGATGAAGAGAAGGATAGGGGATAGATCAGGGCATCTGGAGATGTCAACTGATATTACATCTGAATAGTTGGAGATTATAGCTAGCAGGGGAACAG